GACTGCACCTCTCGAAGGAAAATTTAAATCACGATTAAGTCTTCATCGAGCTCACTTGCACACGGAAATCCACTTCTCCTCGGAGCAGTCTTGACAAGTGACATGACAGCACCACTTAAAACGGCAGTGGCACTTCCGGCTGACCTTCTGCCGCTGTTGGTCGTAGCCGCGGCCGCAACACAGGGAATCGCACGAGTCCGGACCCGTCGAGTTGCGGTTGCAGTGTCGACCCTCCGTCCCGGCCACGTCGAGGCGACCGTCCACCTCGCAGAACGTAGGGGACCGCTCGACGTACAGCAGAGGGGAGTCCGGGCTGATCTCCCTGTGGTGGAAGAACGGGTTTTAAAGAGTGTTCGGTAAGCCACATGGAGGAGAGGTAAGAATGGCTATGAGTACCTCCACCGTGCAAGAGATGGATCAGACCGGCTTCGATTAGAGCTTCGTTGGAAATACATGTCATTTCTGACGGAGGTATAATCCAGTCAAGGTGAAGATACTCATTCTCAATCATACCTTTCCAACACGTTATGAAATGGATTTCATGGTTCCATGATCGACGACGACAAAAAGCAAACAAACAAAAAAAAGAAATCTAAAAAAAAAAAATATCGACAAAAAAGAAAGTCGGAAAGAAAGGAACAAAAATATATATATAACACGTAAATATCGCCCCCACCCGCCAAAAACTACTATTTATAGACTCCACAAATCTTGAACATATCACCAATAAACAAATAATATCAATCACACAACCCTCTCTTTTTCCCGACGGCAACACCTCCTCGCCATCAACCTTACCTCCTGACGGGCCGGTACATGCTCGCCGTGTTGGCCGAATTTCCGAAGACTTCACTCGCTGCCGACTTGGCCTTCCAGTACTTCTCCTTCAGCATGTCGCCCACTCTGCGGAAGTCAGGGGCGGCCTTCCAGCAAGTCCGGACTTCGCAGGAGCCGGACATCCCGTGGCACTTACATCGGACTTCTCTGTTGCGGCGGACCAGCTGTGGAGGGGGAGGGGGGGAGGGAGTGAATCAAGTGCTTGTCTAGTGAGGTATTTCATTCTAATTAGCTACTTCATTTTATCCATCTCTTTATCTATTTCATTATTTGATTATCTTGTTTAGTTTTAGGGAAATGTTTGAGAGATAACTGTCTCGTTCGTTCAGATACTTCAGGAATTTGTGTGCGGTCAAGATCCCGAACGATTTGTTTACTTCAGAAATTCATCGGTATTTTGTGACGACGTCCTTGTGTGATTTATTTTTTTGTTAGCTCTCTGTTGGCTCAAAGATATCAATGAATGTTGATGTATAGATGTGTAAGTATTCTATCTCACCATATCTCGCGTGTATGTATGTATGTATGTATGTATGTATGTATGAATGTATGTATGTATGTATGTATGTATGTATGTATGTATATATGTATGTATGTATGTTTGTATGTATGCATGCATATGTATGTATGTATGTATATATATGTATGTATGTATGTAATGATGTATGAGTGCATGTTTGTTTGTCTGTATTTAATAAAGCATATACAAGTATACGTACATATGTGTGTGAGCGTGCACATTAATGTATGTATGTATGTATGTATGCATGCATGTATGTATGTATGTATGTATGCATGTATGTATGTATGAATGTATGCATGTATGTATGTATGAATGTATGTATGTATGAATGTATGTATGGATGTATGTATGTATGTATGTATGCCTCCATGTATGAATGCATGGCTGTATGTATGTATTCATGTACGTAAGCATACCTACACTTCCACCAAAAATACGCCCCGCCCCCAGGAACCCACCTTCCTGCCGACCTCGTTATTATAGAGGTGCGTGAATGAGATCATGTCCTTGGCTCTCTCCCGCACGTCCAGGAAGTGCCTCGAGTACCTGGCACCGAACCGGGTGTTGTCGTGGCACCCGGACCACTTCCACGCTCTCTTGCCTCGTACCTGGGGGGGGGAAAGAGAAGGAGAGGGGGATGAGAGAGGGAAAAGAGGAATGAGAGAGGGGGAGGCGGAAGAAGAGGGAAGGAGGTAGGGGAGAGAGAGAGAAAGAGAAAGAGAAAGAGAAAGATATATGTATATATATATATATATATATATATATATATATATATATATATATAGAGAGAGAGAGAGAGAGAGAGAGAGAGAGAGAGAGATAGAGATAGATAGATTGATAGAGACAGATAGATAGAGAGAGAGATAGAGATAGAGATAGAGATAGAGATAGAGATAGATAGATAGATAGATAGATATAGAGAGAAAGAGAGAGACAAAGGTTTCAAACAAAATAGTTACGATAACATAAATTCCATTTGAAAAAAAAAAAAAAAAACAGAACACACACAGCCACCTCTACATAATGCCATTTAATCAACACCACCAGCTATTCCTAATAGAGTTCTTAAGAATAATGAATCATTTCTTTCGTGCGTTAAAAAACACAAATGATCTATTCTAAGCGGATGCCAGATGACTCGGCAAGCCAGATTATGATCTCCGTGATGATGCCTCACCATGCCGCAGGAGCAGTTATGGAGGCGCCCAGCTGCGCATGCGCGGGCGACGCTGTGGGTGACGCCAGCTGCCGTGATGGCGTGGCCGAAGGCGCTCTCGCTGTAGCCTGTTGCCGGAAAAGGGAGATATTATGAGGCACTATTAGATATATTTATATATTTATGACTAGATTATTTCTTTAACTATTTGTGTAGTTATTTATTCTATTTTTCTTTTCGAAATGCGTTATTCTGGTCTAAAGCCAGATCATTCCGACACCTCGCTGTATCCTGTTGTGGGAGAGATATTATAATGTAATATTAATTCATATTAGATATATTTAGGAATAGTTTTCTATTCAGATTATTTATTTATCTATTGGTTTATTTATTCGTCTTTTCGAAACTCCTTATCCTGGTCTAAATTTAAATCATTCGGTCATCATTCCACTTTGCTGTATCCTGTTGTGGGAGACGAGACATCATAATGCAATATTAACTTATATCAAACTGATTGTTCGATTATTAATTGATTTATAATTATTATTTTCTTCGAAATGCGTTATTTTGATTTATACTTCGATCGGTTCTAATTACCCCGACAGGAATAAGAGATAAAAGATTATTTCCCCGATATTTACCCGGGTGGGTGGGCTACGGGCCCAGTACTCATTTGTCATCGGTACTGTTGGGTACTGTCGGGTTAACAATAATTTGGTTTTGTCATTCAGGACGTACAGAATAGCGCCCGGGGATAGTTTCCCGTAATTATTAACCGGCGAGAAGAAATACCGCTATAATAATAGGCACATGGACCATTAGTCTTTTATTTACAAAGGGGTGACGAGCGTAAAGCCTAATTCGAAATGTTAATATTTCGTCCTCGCATCGAAGCAGATGATGTTATTGAGGATACCAAAGAATTGTTAAAGAGAAAATAACGGATTTCTTCTCTTCTTCCAAGGGAAATTAGAAGAAAGGAAAAGGAAAGGAATAAAAGAAAAGTAAAGAAAACAAGAAAATACGGAAAGGAGAAAGAAAAGAAAACAAGGCAAAGAAAGATAAAAGAGAAAGTAATTAAAACATGGAAAAATAAAATCGAGTAAAAAATTAAAAAGAAACTTAAAAAAAAAAAAAAAAAATCCAGCAAACAAGGACAAATGAGAGAAAAAAAAATAAGGAAAAAATGAAAAAAAAAATGAAAGAAAGAAAAAGGAAACAAGGACAAGACCCGTAAACAGTCACCGAAGACATAATATTCAGTCTCAGTTAAGTTGTTTAGTGGTTCTGCGTTTCTCTTAATTAGCTGGTCTCTGTTCGCTGTAACGTCGTCAGTGTTACCAAGTCAGCGCCCTTTGTCTTTCATTATCTTGTTACTTGGATTTTTAAGGTAATGGAGGTTGCCGTTTACTGTTTCGGTAAAGTTTGTGGGGGTTTTGATACGAAAAAGTAATATGTCTGTTGTAATTATTGGTAGAGGGGACACACACACACACACACACACACACACACACACACACACACACACACACACACACACACACACACACACACACACACACACACATACACACACACACACATATATATATAAGTTTATAAATACACACACACACACACACACACACACACATATATATATATATATATATATATATATATATATATATATATACATGCACACACATATATATACATACATATACAGAGAAAAAAACGAATACGCGAGAGAGACAGAGAACCAGCCCCTTTCCCTCCCACCTTTCTGAACTCCCCTCCCCCCCCATGTCAGAGAGAGAGAAAGACATCCCTCACAAATCCTGCTAATTGATGGAGCCATTACCTTCCCCCCCCCCCCCCCCCTAACACACACACCTATCCCTCCTCCTCTTTCTCCCTCTCCCTGCCCCTCCTCCTCCACCCTCCCCCAACCGCCATATACACCCTCAGGCCACCCATAACGCCCCCCCTCCATCCCCCACACTTTCCTTCCTTACCCCCCTCCCCCCTCACTCCCTGGCCCATCGGCTCGACAATCGCTTACAATTAAACCATTGTGACTAAGCTTAAACACAATTCTTTGGGTCGAGTTCTCGCTAAGGGCTTGTCTTGCGGCGTGAAGAGGGGGGGAGGGGGGGAGGGGGCAAGGGAGGAGAGGAGGAATATATGGGGGGGAGGGGTGAAGGGGGGGAGGGGGAGGGAAGATGGAGGGGAGAAGGGAGAGGAAGAATGGAGGGAAAAGAGGGAGGGGAGAAAGGAAGAAAGAAATTTGTGTGGAGCCAACGAAAAGGGAAGAGAGATAGAGAAAGAAGAGAAAGAAACACAGGGAGAGAAGAAGAGTGTAGATAAGGACAGTGAGAAGAGGAGAAAAGGAGGAGAGACGAGGAAGAAATGAAAGGAAGGGAAATGGAAGAGAGAAGAGAAGGAATACAAAAAAAAAAAGAAAATAGAAAGAATGGGAAGAGAGGAAAAGAAGTTTATTGGGGGAGAAATTTCTATAATTGGTTTAAAAATGGTTCTGGAATTCTTTTCTTAAGAGATTCGTGTTTCTTTAGCCGTTTGGCAAACAAAATGATGTTATGAAAAAGGAAGATAAGATGATAATTTCAAACTGATACATTCTGAATATGAACATTTGGAAACCGGCAGACATATAGTCAGAGAGAGAGGAAGATATAGAGAGAGGGAAAGAGAGGGAAAGAAAGAAGAGAGAGAGAGAGAGAGAGAGAGAGAGAGAGAGAGAGAGAGAGAGAGAGAGAGAGAGAGAGAGAGAGAGAATGAGAGAGAGAGAGAGAGGAAGAGAGAGAGAGGAAGAGAGAGAGAGAGAGAGAGAGAGAGAGAGAGAGAGAGAGAGAGAGAGAGAGAGAGAGAGAGAGAGAGAGAGAGAGAGAGAGAGAGAGGGGGGGGAGGAAACAAACGGCATTCTGCATTAATGAATAACAGCTGACTAAAATCCAAATCCGGACAAATATATTATGATAAATTCTCCCGTCGATGTCTCTCGCAGTCGCTCCAGTGCTGTCGCCGAGACTGTGACGCCGTTGCTATGGTAACTGCCTCCGATCTGCTGGTGACGGCGGTTTTTTGCAAGATGCATTGTGTGTTGTTGTGTTACGTGCAGTCAAGTGAAAATACCACGCTGGCAGAGCACGTGAAAGGAAAGGAGAGCGGATTTGCGTGCGTGTGTGATGCTCTGCTGACATGTTTGTGTCGTGTGTGTGTGTGTGTGTGTGTGTGTGTGTGTGTGTGTGTGTGTGTGTGTGTGTGTGTGTGTGTGTGTGTGTGTGTGTGTGTGTGTGTGTGTGTGTGCTGTGTGCACATATGCATGTATATATGTATGCATGTATTATGTATGTATGTATGTATGTATGTATGCATGTATGTATGCATGTATCTATGTATGCATAAAGGAAGATAGATAGGTATGTATGAATTTATCTAGGTCTATGTACTCTCTCTCTTTCTCTCTCTCTCTCCCTCTTTCTCCTTGTCTCTCTCTCTCTCTCTCTCTCCCTCTCCCTTATTCCTCTTTCTCTCTCCCTCTTCCTCTTTCTCCTTGTCTCTCCCTCTCCCTCATTCACACTTTCTCTTCCTCTTTCTCTCTCGCACATACATCCCCAAACAATATACATTTAAACACACCTAATCACAAACATACATAAAGGCGAAAATCCCAACCGCACACAAACATAAACAAACCGAATGTCCTTAGTCATTCCTTTTCCCATTTTCTCCGAACGCACTGCCCTCAAGACGCTCCAGAAGAGGCCTTTGGGGCACTCTCACCTTCGTAATTGGCCCAGGTGTAATTGGGGTGTCATTGGCGAGTGTTTATCCACCTTTAAGACTGTCCTAAAGGAGGGGAAGGAGGGAGGGAGGGGGGGGGAAGGGGGAGGAGGGCTGGGGGAAGGTGGGAGGAAGGGAGGGAGGGAGGAAGGGTGGGTGGGTGGGAGGAGGGTTGGGGGAGGGGAAGGGAGGGAGGGAGGGAAGAAGGGGTGGGAGGTAGGGGAAAGGAGAGGGGAAGAGGGGAGGGAGCGAGGAAGTGGTGGGAGGGAGGGGAAGGGGAGAGTGGGAAAGGGGAGGGAGAAGGGGAGAGAGGAGGAGAGAGGGCGGTAAGAGGGTTATATATATATATATATATATATATATATATATATATATATATATATATATATATATATATATATATTTATTTATTTATTTACATCTATATATATGTAAATAAAGTACGAGATTTTTGTATTTTACCATTCAAAATTGTGGCGCCGATTATGCTGAATATAGACTAAGGAATAAATGTGAAAATAAACAAAAATATGAAAGATAAGAGAGATAACACGTCGCTGACATAGGTATACTAACTATAAAGCATTTCCGATAACCCACAGACATCATGAATATAATAAAATAATAAAAACAAACAGTCAGAGAAACATAATAACACAATGAAAAACACATATAATAAAATGATGAAGATCTAACAGAAAGAGAAGAATAAAAAGAGTTAAAATGAAACCGAATCGAAGCTGCTGATGATAATGATGCTGGCGGAGCGGAGATGACGGAGCCTTGGACGCGGCGGAAGAGCATCACGTTCGACCAACAGAGCAAAGGCGGGGGAAGGGGGGGGGAGGGAAGGAGGGGAGAGACAGGTAGATTCCAGGTTGTAATTAACACCCCCGTGACCTTTGACCTCGGGTGGGTTGGGGAGGTCATTAGGGCTTTGTATTCTTTGATTTGAAATTCATTAGACGTATATATTGGTACTTGTATATTTATATATTTATATATACACATACATATATATCACACACAAACACACACACGCACGCATTTATATATGTGTGTGTGTACACACACACACACTTATGCACACCTACACACCCACACTCACGCATACGCATATACACGCAAACCCCTGCATGCAACGTACGCATGTCGAAGTGCTTCAATAAACCATGAAGCTGAAAGAATCCTATTATTT